CCCCACAGATGGTTTTCATGTTCATGTCTCTTCACCCAATCAGCTTTGTCCTCAGATCTTATTCCATTGACCAATGAGAGAACAGTAAACACAAACAGCACGGTACGCATGTAATTCATGGCTCACTGCTGTGGCTGAAATATTGTATGATATTTAAAATATTAGTGTGAAACACTTTTAATTATCTTTTAAGTTATAATTAGCTGTACAATGATGAAAACTACCTAAAAGCAACGTACCTAGCAAACGAATTTGGAAATAATTGCTATCTTTTTTGATAAAATTTATGGTGTACTAGTCTTCACTGTGGCGTCGTTTTTTTTTTATTTATTTTTTATTTATTTTTTTTTTTTGCAGCTTCGCCTTCAAAGTGAGGGAGAAAATATTCTTTGTTTGGTTATGTTGGCAATATTGGTAATATTATTTGTTTGTACAGGCCAAGCGACATACCCACTGGGAAAAAAAAACATTCAGTGATCGGTGAAAATCTCACATTCGTAGTTTTGAACGAAAATTTCAGATGGTTTAAAAAAAAAATTGAGAAAAAAATACTTTTATAGTAGCCGCAATCTGTTTTACTTCTAACGTTTAGCCCTTTCTGCCGGTTCTACATTGGTAATTTTTCGAACACAAAATTATTGTTTTGGTAATGAAAGTTCCAATTATTTCACGACAGAACAATTTCTAATGACCCTAATTTTAGCAAATCCTAGTTCGTGTGATGTAGTTTTGGCATCTTCAGATTTTACTGGGTGTGAGTGAAGAAGAGGAAGACAGACAACTAAGGCTATTATTGTGTACTTAATGTTATTCTCTACCAGAAATATTAAAGTAGAGAAATGCCAAAACGTTAACAAAGAAATAGTTCCTTCAGAGCAGGATGCCAGAAACGTTGTCCCCGAATCGCTTGCTTAAAGCAACATTTTCTTATCTAGGACATTACTACAAGAATTTCGTTTCTAGGTTGAATAAATCCCCTGAGGTCTGTATGCAGGCATATATCATTATGCCTTCGACATTTGTCCTCTGTCTGTTTCAAATGAATATTATCACTTCTCAAAACTAAAAGACCCTCAGGAAGTTAAAGATCTGGACAAGCCAGGTTTGCGCTTTTTACAAGTACTTTCTTAACTCTTAGGAGGCTAGAAACGGTCACTTATCTCGGAAACTGTGCGAAGTACCACTTACCTTTCTTAGATCCGATTCTGAGATACTCCAAAGAACAGGTATCAGCTGTAGATATTTGCAAACGGGATAGTAATATATGTTAGATCTTTAATATTATTTTGCAGTTAAGGTACTTTTTTTATAACTTCTGTTCAATTAGAGCTTTGGGGATTTTTTGTTGTAAGGTAAACAAGCCGACTCAATAAAGAACTATGGTAAACATATTGGAAATTAAACTTTCTTTAAAAATGCAAACTGCAATTTTTGCCTTGTTTGCAATATAGCAGCTAAGCAAATAACCGTAAATCTCTTGTCTTTGTGTTTTCCTCTATGATCCAAAGTCACTTAATTGTACTTTAAAGTAGATATATCCCAACCTTGGTGAAAATTGTCTTTTCTCGTAATGTATACTCAAGAAATGTAATTGACATTAAGTTACGAAATCTATTACACATTCGAAACTTCCTGACACAAAATAAGATGGATTTGAACCATTGTTGTAGCTAGCGATTTTGGCTGGGTTAATTTCAAGCCCTTCCATTTCACCTATTCTGCCGGACATGCATTTCTCGGGCATTTCTAAGGGTTTTTTTTTTTACATTTTGCAAAAGCCCCACAGTTGAACTAGAATATTTGTCTCCTACGGTGAAGCTTCGGGAAGACTGCAAATGCCTGTCCCACGGGACAAGGTCAAAATTATATTTTTCTGAGTGATAATGGAGCGATAATTGTTCGCAAAACATGAGTGTTAATTAAAACCCATTACCATGGCTTTTGAAAGAAATGTAACTCCGGAAAGCAAATGACAAATGTACGTGCTTTAAAAACGGAAAGATAGAATTGTGTTTGACGATGACCCACCCCCTGAACAGGAAATGTTTTCAAACGCCCGACAAACGCCCTGGTGGGTTTGGTGGCGGGATGGGAAGGCTTGGAATTGACAGAGCCAGAGACATCGACAAGAAATCTATTAAAGCTCACATAACTGACCGGCGAAAGACGCACATGTTCAATTACGCGTATCCAGTTGCAACTTTTTGTAATCGGATACCTGTAATTGGACCTCGCGTCTTACAACTACTATTACACCGGTTCTTATGAGTCTCCACTGGCTCCCAATAGATCTCAGAATTGAATTTAAGATACTCATCATTACCTACAAGACTCTCCATAGCCTAGCTCCTGCTTATATTGAGAATCTCCTTGACAGCTACATTCCGGGACGTTATCTAAGATCTGCAGAAAAAAATTTACTCGCCGTGCCTGGTTTCAAACTTAATAGTTATGGCCGCCGTGCTTTCTCTGTTCCAGCGCTTTGCTTTGGAACAGTCTTCCACAACATGTTAGGGATGCAGAATCGCTGGACATATTTAAAAGAGTGCTGAAAACAGTTTTTGTAAAGCGTGCCTTTTTAAATTGAAAATTTTATTGTAGTTATTTATTTTAACTTATCTTCTAGCTTTTTATTTCTTTTCGTAATATGAATTTTTAACCTTGTAAATAGCGCCTTTGGACCCTTGGGAAAGGGCGCTTCAGAAATGTTATTGTTATTATTATTATTATTATTATTATTATTATTATTACTGCAATTTCCGTATTCCTCCAATAATTGGAAAAGTAAAATTATTACCATTTATATTTGTTTCGTCGCACAAATGTCGTAAACGCTCGCCATCGTTCTTACGACAGAACATGTACAGACCAACTAGAACAATTGCAGTCTACCACAAAACACAAATAACTGTAAAGATATTTTTTCATCAACAGCGCCATTAACGGCCCACAAAACAAACTTTTTAAACATGAGAAAATCTCTTTTTTTTATCAAAACCCAGAAATCCTAGCACAAATGCCGTGAAAATTCGCGATTGTTCTCATAATAGAAATGAACAAGCTAGAGTAACCGTTGTCTGCCATGGAACAGTTGCACAAATAACCATTAAATGAGAAAATCTTTTTTTTTTTTAATCAAAATCTACAAATGCTCGTACAAATGCCGTGAAAATTCGCGATTGTTCTCACAATAGAAATAAACAAGCTGGAATAGCCGTTGTATGCCATGCAACAGTTGCAAAAATAACCATTTAAGATATTTTTCAGCCATGCCGCAGCTATTGAACTTACACAACAACCTTTGCGAATGAAAAAGCTATCAATACTTATACACTTCAAACCCCGGCGAGATCAAAGAGTTTTCCCTGAGTCAATTGAGCTATCTTTTAATGAATTCGATGTTCCCCAATTTATATGCATATCGTTTCATTCGACTTTGGACATATTACGAGCTCACAAACTGACCATCTCCCAGTTGGTTTGATAGCTCAGTTGGATGAGCACTACTTATAAAATTAAACATTGATGTTATCTCATTTTGACTTTTTCCCAGCACTTTCTGGTCAGGCTTTCATTTAGCATGAGACAACACAGACTACGGCACTTGCGCTGGAGACTGAAGGCATTGTCCAAGAGACCAGCATGTGGCCAACATGTGACCTGCATATGACCAGCATGTGACCAGCATCCCTTATCCCATCCAGAAAACAACACCCAGCCAAATACTTTATCCCGTGTTAACCGTAATAAAGAAATACTATCTTTTTGTTCACAACAAAATGATTGTAAACGCGGCGACCCTACTTATTTTTCTTTATATTAACGTTTCCATATAACCCGCGCTCTGACTGGCTGAACAGCGTGCTTTATCAGAGAGCAGATGCACGGGTTGATGACGGTAAGCTGGCTGACGGTAAACATCCCCTGTGACTCAGACAAACGCAATGGAAATGAGATGTTTGTCTGCAGTAATTATGGCTGCAAGGAGACCATTGTTAACAACAGTAGTGTTTACACTGTGCTAAAATAACAAGTTTTGCTAGATTTCGACAAAGCACATAGCTCAACCTCGCGAATGCTTCGATAAAAGACATTACGCTTGTTAAGAAAGCAGAAATTATACTTAAGAAGTAAAACAACAACGGAAAACACCAATTGAGCTGTCTCTGTTTATGATGAGAAGCTTTATTTTTGTAAAAATGCTCAAACAACACTTACATGTAGTGTAGTAAAGCTCGTTTGCTTGCTATCGATCTGCGGTCATCTCAGCGAAGTGAACCTCAATTTCGTATTAACGCTCAGCCGACGAGAGATCAGTTGAAAGCTTGCTGTGATATTCTCTCTTGTACTCGGAGTAGAACCAGTGACAGCAATAAATTCTTTTCCAGATTTGACGCTAGTTCGGGCAATCTTGCTGCAAACCGTAAATAACTGTCGCTCCTTTCAAATACAGCTCAGCATTTCGCATTTTCATCCCGCGCAAGCTTTGAGCTCTTTGTTTCGTAATTTCCATTGGAATACTACACGTTATCATTAGGCACAATGCGATCCGATTCCTCTGGACTAGAAACTTTTAGATCCTTATTTTTAAATTTAACTAAAAGGCGATCTTTCTTCTCTCGAAAGCCACTCGAAACTGAAAGGTTAGCTCAGTGAAGTTCGGTTTGTAATTGACAGTTTTCGTCTCGCTAGCCAGTCAAATTGTTTGAATAATTCTAACGAGGATCATAATTGGCTTATTTTAGAGTGCTTTATCAGAAAACAGATGTACACTCACACCACTTTTACTCGTTTGGAAAATAAAGTTCGGTTTGAAAATTCAGCCGAATGCGTAGAGAAATTAATAGGGAGAATGTCGTTCCCCTACACTTCTCTCGTGCTCCGACCGCTTCCTGCGTGCTCTACAACAGAACAGGGGCAGTCGAGGCTTCCTTGTTTGGTAATCAAAACTACTTTCCCTTTTAAGTGTTAGGATAGTTGATGAAAAGAAAAATCAACCATTGCATCCAACAAAGAGTTTACTTCTTAATATACATATTATGTTAAAATTTACAAGGTTTTAAATTAATTTACAACGCTTCTGAAACGTGACGTTTGCACTACGGATGGTATGAAACTCTGAGCGATGTACACGATAACCAGTCTTAACTTAAGACTAAATTAATATTGCGATGATTCAGCAATGATAATAATATAACAATAATACAAAAAAACATCAAAAATGAAAATGAAAAATATATAATCAAGAATGAAAAAGCGAAAGCCTGAAAACTTAACAATGAAAAAAACATGCGTTATGATCATTGGTCAGTCAATCAAATCATTTGAGCTCCAGCGTCGTATTTGGTAAAACAACTTTAAACATAAAAATAATTGAATTTTTTTTTTATTCAGGGTTTTTCGTTGTTATTGACGTTAGTAATCGACTTTCCTTTTGTTAAACCAATCGTAAGCAGCGTCTGTGTCACGTGACCTCCGCTGAGCAATCGGGAAACTGCAGCGTTCTAACGCAAACTGGCAGACATCTGGAAGACTTTCCTGACGCTGTGAACAACAGAGCAAGAAAAAAACTTTTAGGACCGTTTAGTGAGGTATAAGAAACACTGTAAAATGATATCAAATAAGCCGTTTGAATTTCCTGACTGAAAGTCTACAAGTATTGCATGCTTTGCAGTATGAAGAAAGCACTTCAAGAAGACTCTGAAAAAAAGACGTCTTCCCTGTTTTAACCGGTTTAATAGCATTAAATTTAGAAGGTAATGATTTAAGAAAAAAATAGATTGCAGAATGTAGGGCCAACTACATTTTGCTCTCCCTTCAACAATTGGCTTGATACCTTCATCTTGGTGTTCGATGGAAGATACTCAGTCATATTTTTAGCTCTGTTTTGAACAAAATGCAGCCAAATCGACTTGAGAGCGTACCGCACGATGGAAGCTGCCTTGGTAAATTCACTTGACTTCTCGCGCAAACATAGAAATTATAACTAGATACTTACCTTCGCACTTCGTCTACCAACAGTATTAGAATTAAACGCTTCGGAAAACATGAAATCCGAAGACAGAAGGAGAATGCACAAAGCGGCAGACAGCAACCTTTTAGTCGTCATACTTCTTAAAGATATGGATTCTCTAGCCAGGGCAGTGTCGTGTCTCACCTTGTTGAGCAACAGAGTCAATGATCATTTCAAACGTACTGGTCAGCTTTTTATATCTTCAAAGTCCATCAAAGAAGTATTTGTCAGGATCCGCTTTTAGTGACTAATTAGAATTAATTGGTGTCAGAGCTGCAAAGAAACAAAGAAAGACAAATTGCATCAACTCATTTTGTAGTTTGTAAAAAATTCAATTCCGTTCCCTTGCAAAATCCGCGGAACTTGTCAATCCACCACCTCCAAAAGGAAATTGTGGGAAAAAAAAATCACTCGATCTAAAAGCAGATGTCCTGATTAAATTTTAGCCATAACGATAAATTTGAAAGAAAGATATTGAGACCTGCTATAACTTTACAACATTTTAGACATGGCATGGCTGTGTAGCATAATGCAAACGTCGGCAAATTGGGCGTTTGTTAAAACCTTAACTGTGTCATCCAATGTTCGATGTATTCCTCTCAATTTTCTTACACTTCCTGCGGGAAAACTCGCTATCGATTTGTTCCATCTATACGCTTACCATGCTAAGTTTAATTTTCGGTAAATGCACAGATCAAAGACGGCCAGCAATTCACAAAAAATAAAACGCCATCGTTAATTTGTTCATGATTTCTCCCTTTGAGTAACTTTATTTTGGGTGTGAACGAAATTCGGCATACATTCAGTTTTAAACGCTGAAACCACTTGTTGCTATGCAAGGTTAATTCAAGAGATTCAGAATTATTTAAATTTAGCAAGAAACTTGGTTATGATCGATTAATTTGATAAGGGTTATCTTTTGTTTGGGGAAAAGAACGGCAGAGTCACTTCGGTCCATTATCAGGCTATTTACTTTTGCCCTTCATATAACATCATAACAGCACCTATTTTAATTTACCTGTCGTGACAAAAAGGAAAAGCTCTTTTACATGAGGCTTCCGTGTCAGCTAAAAGCTTCCTTTTCGAATAAAGTAACTCATGAATGAATATCGCAAAAAATATTGGCAACCCAAGTCTTCTTTTTTTTTTTTTTTTTTTCAAAATTGCACTCAAACAGATATAAAGCATGAATCAGATGGCGTGGCAAAGGAAGAAATTATCATTAGAGCAATAAAGTTTCTCGAAAACATGACACAACATAACACTTTGAAAATGATTTTCGACTCGCTATCTGAGATCGGGAAAGCCTTTTGAAAGGGACAATTAAGCTGATGTTGAATGGGCCACGGACAGACAAGACAGCTGACAAGAGAAAATGCAACTGTTATCACCTACTCTGTGGGCGATAGGTCATAAGTTACGTGATCTACTAGAACGGAGTTCTCCAAGCAAACAGTTTGCTTGGAGATTTTACTAACACGGCAGGCGGTTAATTTTTTTCCGCTATAGGGGTAGCAATTTTGTCAATGCCATTTGGTAGGACAGGAATGGAAAACTTCTCTCTCAAACTTGATAAACCAACAAATATGTACGTGGAGTTTTACGAGTAAAAAGTTCAATTCTCGCACCGTTTTTAGCTTTTATCGTTTTATATTTAATTATGATCGCATTGTGTTGTCAGGAGCATTTCGTTTTCTAAATAATAAAGATTAAGATATGGCTGCTCAAAAATAAGTTTGATTCAAGGGTCGTCGAATGAATGAAAAAGTTTCTGAAACAAATTGAGCGAAGTCAAAGACTTTTAATAAGTCGGCGGTCTTAATTCTAGCTTTGAAATAATATCCTACTCTAAGTATTGGCCATCGCTTTCTTACTCCATTGGTCGACGTCTGTGAATTTCAGCGCTTGAGATGTATAAAGGCTGGTTTTGGGGGACAGAGGATAGCTCTAGTTTATGGGTAACGTTTCACTCTTTGATCACAGTTTCGTAGAAAATCATTATTGATAGAGCAAGAAACTACATATGGACATTCAGATTAACACACTGTGTCTTGACGCTATCCATTGAGTAGCAAACTGTACGCTGAAGACAACGACTAGACTAAATTGTATTTTTGTTTACATCACAGCAACGAACCCTTTTTGCCATTCTCAAACCACTGAATGAAATATAATTAAAAGTACCTGCATGTAAAACAAAAGATCGAAAATTATGACATAATTAGGGTAATTAGTGCTATTATTTAAACCGATCAGCGTGGTTTTAATTTCCGCCCATTATGAGGTCCGGGACTTAAGTTAAAACTCACGCACATGTAATATTAAGTTAATAGCAGGTGATGCTAACCATGCTAAGAAAAGGAGCGCTACCGGCATAAAAAATTCAGTTCAACAGAACCTTTGTTAACAGGACAATCTTTTATCTTCAGGTTGCTTTTCCTTTTCTTTCAGCTCTTTAATAATCTTATTACTTTTCTTTGGCAGTCGCCGTAAGCGGGGAAAACTGTAAGATTATCTGATAAATACATTAATATTTAGAAAAAAATTGATTGCAATAATGTGCTAGGCTAAACCACAAGAAAATGGAACTTAAGTTGATAGACAACTTTATGACAACGAACGCTTAATGTGAAACCAAAAGGCAATAGGAAGGAGGCTGACCAATCCATGCAAGTGTCAATATTCTTACCCTAACAGGCAACGAAGATAAGCATCAACTTCACTTCTCTCAAGAGTTCAGCTGTATTCTCCTAAGTATCTAACCTGGTTACAACAGCGGGAGACTGACTAGAAAACTTTCGGGTTGCTTCGGTCTCCAAACTCAAATAATACATTTTTTTCTGTCCTGCTATTTATATATATATCTGTGTAAAACTGTAAATGTACGAGTGAATAAAGTTGTTGTTGCAACATGCCACCAAAGGCTCGAAGAAAGTAGCTTGGGTCGTGAGAATCAGACTTATCAGCATTGTGGTCGCGTAAAAATAGGGGCGGCAACAAAATATCATTGTAGGAGGAGGGTGTCGGGACAGGAGGGATATCCGCATTTCAAGCCATTAATAATAATAATAATAATAATAATAATAATAATAATAATAACAATAATAATAATTTTTTAAATAATAATAATAATAATAATAATTTTATTGGGCTCATTAAAATTCTTTACCGAAACTTTACTTGATAATTATTTACAGCACAAAACTATTTACAATAACAACTGTATCAAAATCGTTAAAAAAAGAAAGCAAAATGTAGTTTATAGAAAGGAATAATCATCATCATCATCATCATCATCATCATCATCATCATCATTAGTCTCCTTTCTTAGCTTAAATAGTTTTACCCCTTTTTTGGTTCGCGCCTTAATCCTTAGCTATTTTTGTTATTATCTCACTTTGTTATACAGTTCATTGCATATTTTCATTTTATTTCTCACTGTACAACTGACGATGAATGATGTCTCATCCGAAACATGTATTTTCTTCTTTAAAAAATGAACTTCAAAAACATCGTGTGGTTCATCAAAGCAATAATAATAATAATTAAAATGCTTAAACAGGGAGCCCACTATAAGGTGCTCTTCAGTGGGGCCGTGCATAAATAAATATTAAAAATTAACTCGGACGTTTTAAAAGCAAACACTTTGAACTGCTATCTATTGAAAGGAAACAGTTTCCAGCTGAGGCCTTTTTATGAAAGTTTTGACTTTAAGGTGTCTCGATATCTGTTAGATTTCGGAAAAAGTAATAAAAATCAAAAATTACCCGAGAATTATAATGGGAGTGACCTGAAGGAAAAGTATCCTTCTTGAGATCGCAAAAAAAAAAACCCAAAACTCTCATGTCTTCAAAACATAGCTTCAAGACGCATTTTGGTATTACAGTCAACTCTCTCTTAACGGACACCTCTATAAGAGGGACACCTCTATAAGACGGACACCTCTATAAGACGGACACCTCTATAAGACGGACACCTCTATAAGACGGACACCTCTATAAGACGGACACCTCTATAAGACGGACACCTCTATAAGACGGACGGCTGGTGCTGGTCCCGGCCGTTTCTCAGTCATTTTACTATAACCAAATTCTCTATAAGACGGACACCTCCATAAGACGGACAACGGACACTTGTGACGTGCTGAATGTGACCGCAAATTACGATTTAGGGAAGAAAAATTCTTAAATTACCAAGTACGTGACTCTTTTTAACACCAGACCTTTAATTGACAGCTCTCCTCACTGTTTGGACTCTATTTAACCCGTTAACTATTGATTGTAATATGACAAGAGATTCAATTTTATAACTATGTTTTTGTTCCAGTTTGTGG